TGCCCATGTTTATACTGAATTTGTTGTTGTTGTTGAGGGGTTGGGGGTGGTTATAATGGATATTAATCTCCTGAGAATGGTTTGAAAATATGCTCTCGCATTCTGTAAGTTATCTCTTCACTCTCCTGACAGGTTTCCTTAGCTTTCCAGAAGCTGTCTCTCTTTGGTATGGAGTTGGGGTTTGGACTTAGGGCCTCATTCTTGCAAGGTAGGCGCTCTACCACTTGAGCTGCACCCATGCCTTTTTGTTTTCTTTTTATGGTAAGTCTCGTTTTTGTGCCAGACCTGTCCGGGCCTCAGTCCCCCTGCTTGTCACCTGTAAAGCTGGAATGACAGACATGTGACACTCTGCCTGGCTTTAGATGGGATCTCACTTGCTGTTTGCCCAGGCTGGCTGCCAATCATCATCTGTCCATTCTTGGCCTCCTGAGTAAGCGAAGATGACAGGTGTCAGCCACCATGTTTGATTGGAAGCTTTGTAATTTGATGTCATCCCACTAATTCTTGTTCCTATTCAGGAAATAGTTACCTGTACCAAGATCTTCAAAAGCTCTCCCTGTGGTTTGTTTTAGCAGTTTTAAAGTCTCAGGTCTTACATGAAGGTCTTGATCTACTGGGACTCCTATTTATGTGGGGTTTTCATACGTCTTCTCGGTGTCTCTTTTGAGTATCATATTTTCAACACTTAATTTAGGCATAAAAATATTAATGCAGAAATTCAAATATGTTAGTAAAATGACACATTTAAGATGTTTGAGTCTACTAATTTTGTATACCATGGAACTTTTTACTTTTATGTTCATCTTGTTGAACTTCTGGGAGGAAATGCTGAAGACTGAAAACAAGCCCACACTCCTTCTCCTTGTATTACTTCTTTCTTGTTCTTTGACAGCCCTCCATCAGGGGAGGACTTCCTGCTATGCGCTCTCTTACCTGTGAGGTGGACTCTATGAGGTCAGTGGTCTTACTTACCTGCCTCTGTCTCTTGCTCCTTCCCCATCAGTGGCCCAATGTACCTTAGAGCGGGGAGGGGGGCAGTCTGTGGCCCAGGACACACACAGGTACAGGCTCCAGTGCTGGGGACCGCTGTTTCTGGTCTTCAGGGATATTCTACTTTAGGTCAGCTCATCAATGTACAGTAAAGGCTTCAGTACTAATTTAAACAGCATTCTGGTTGTTCTACATTGGGAAGCAGGTATCCCCTATTTTGTTAACTTGCTTAGCACAAACAGATATAAGCTCTGAATATTCACATGAACATTAAACTCCAAAGTCTATAGCGAATCCACATTTCTCCCCCTTCTGAACATCTCAAAGTTTTGAAATTAACACAACGAACACGTTTGTAGGCATTTTGTTTTCATATAGCTCAAACAGCAATTCTCAATCCGGGCCACAGACTAACAAAGTCAGGAGTTTTGTTTCAAGTATTACCACCTGCAATGGTGTACTGCAACCAAGAACAGTCTAGAAGCATGGTTTTCTGTATCTGGTTTTCTGATAAAATTACAAGACTAGTGTTACTACCAATCTACCTAAAATACATTTATCTTCTACAAGCACAGTAAAAACAACCAGATCAAGAAAATCAACCTTGATTTAGAAGAACCCACTTCAAGGGTTGGAGAACTGCCTTTAATACAGAACCAGAAGGTATTTTAGCCTTTGCAGGCCATAGTCTCTGTCAAGCCCATCAGCTCTGCAGCTGAGATGGAAGCCATACAAAACAATGAATAAGAGATGTGGCTGTGCTCCAATAAAACTATCTGCAAATACATTTGGTGCATGGGCCATAGTTTGATAACCCTTCACAAGTCTAGACTTCACCCAGAAGTCACCAATTCCTGAATAATGAGCTTTACAGCAATGCCTCTGTGGCTGCTGTGCTGGAAGGTTCAAGTCTTTGTCATAGAACTAGCATTCCTGGGGATGGGCCGGCTGCTGTGTGAAATGTCCTTTGTCTGGTGCCTCTTCACTATCAGTGCAGGGTTTCCACCTTGGACACACATGTAGCAGAAGTAATGCACTGATGTGGCCCATTATTGCTAAAGACAGCGTGTTTGAAGGCACTGACTGGCTTGTTCATTAAAACGTTCACATACTTCTTTAGAAAATTCTGCATGGAGGAAGTCTAGGTCTGAAGTATTCATAGTTCTCAAGTTATCCATTAATATCCACTGATGAGCCCTGCCCATAGCCATTATGGTAATTACTTTGTTACTACAATTGTAGGTGCAGGAGGTGGCTAGCTTTCTAAAGAGAAAGGGTTCATTTTGCGGATAACTTTAGAGGTTCAGATTTGAAGGTGGGGGGGCATCTTCATTTCTTCCCTCTGGTGAGGGCAGTACATGCACACCACAGCTTTGCCAAGAAGGTGCAGAGCTTAGGACACCTCTCAAACTGGCAGTGGATGGCCAGCTTTGCTGCTTTCACATGGTCATCTGAAGATAAGCCCTATCCTAGGCCTAGGCAAGTACCGGTACACTTCGGTGTGAAATTGTATATTGTGTTCTCTGTCAACAAGATCAGTCAGGACTCCAGGGCAGGAGAGTTTGAAGGATGCTCCCAAATCTACTCATTTTAAAAGCTGCTTCTAAGTAATTCATGGGTCAGATATGAGGCTAATCTCCACTACTGCACCTAACAGCCTGGCTAACTGCTGTTCACTGGGGATGGGTGGAACGGGGCAGGCTCTGCGTGCGAAGAGAAACACATGTCAAGTTAGACAGGAGCGTGGCCAAGCTTCCACCTGGCGACCCACCCAGCCTAGCCTTTAACAAGAAGCTGACTCTACAGCTACCTGATGTGAGACAAAATCAAGCCAAGAAATCTCTGCATCTGTTACCAGCACAGGTCTACAGACCCTTTTTCTTAGGCTCTAGTCCTAAGCAGTAAGAGTGGGCTCTCCCGTTTCCTTCTGGGCCGTCTCCTGTTCTCCACCTTCCTCTTCACTTGTCCAAGTATGCTCCAGATGTTCTTTTCAGAATTGTAATCAACTATTCCACTTTAAAAGGAACAGCATTTTGTTTCATTGACTTTCTGTATTTTTGTATGGTTTCCACTGCATTAATTTCTGTATTCATAGACAAGATTATCCTTGCTTTCCTGAGGTATAATTTGTTCTAAGTTCTCAAGGTAGAAGCTAAAGTAACTGATTTTAGATTTTTGTCTGGGATCACAGAGGTCTGTCACCATACGTAGCTGAGAATATTGGGTGTTGAACTCGTCCCTGTGCTTCCGCGGCCGGCCCTGGACGACTGAGCTGCGTCTCCAGCGTTTTTCACAAATGCCTCTTGGGACAGGGTCTCACTCCCAGCCTCAGCACCCGAGTCACCACCTGCATTTCTGTAATTGTGTGGATCACATGCTCATGCCACTACAGCCAGCTTCACCGCAAAAAACAAAACAAATACCCAAAGCTTCAGTGCAGGGTGGTTCCACTGAAACCACGGCTCCACCTTGCAGGGTCCTTTAGACTCAATTACGGCACACACGTGGAACTGTGGGCCAGGGCACAGGGAGGAGCATCTGTTCACTGTCAGGCCACTGACTGCTTGCTCTAGGGACCGCCCCAACACCCAGAAACGCATGTGGACCCTGGTGCAGTGCCAGAACAGCTGGACATGGAATGGACCCACTGGGTGCCGGGACGATGCGGGGCAGCCAGAGGGCCACGGTGTGTGCCACATCCGCTGTCACCATGTCTCAGCAGCCACTGGCACTAGTCCCCAAGGCAGGCCGCCAAGCGCCAACGCTTTAATTCACCCTCCACTTCCAAGAGGAACTCTACCATTGTGCTGTGTTCTCCAGCTGTCTGACACTGCCAGCCCAGCTTTGTTGATTTGGTGACAAGCCTGCCAATTTGGTATTCTGAAAACTGATCAGTACCAGGGCCATGGAATCAGGCTCATATTCTTGCCCTTCTTGTACAATGATGTTATTTTACTTTAGTTATAATCTGGGGTTTATAAACACACTTGAACTATTTTCATGCTCAGACTACTGTCTTATTCTGGGCCACTGGGAGCCCTTCAAGGTGGCACGGGGCTTTGCCAGAACCCAGTGTCTCCAGAGGCCTCCTTACCTGGCACACACTGTGGGTCAGTTGCCCTGGACCTCCAGTACTAGTGTCGCAGCCATGTCTGTTCTCACTGCAGTCATTACTCTGGGCCTTTTCAGGTGGACAGAGGCAGGAAGTTACTGCTTCCAGAGAAAAAGTTTCCCAATGGAACTGAAGCTTATTCATGTCTACCGATGTCACGATCACTACCTTGGTCTTGCTGTTAGCCCTGGGAGATGAAGACCAGCCTGTATGCCTAGACAGGAGGCACACATGCTTGAAGGCATTTTGCCGACGTACACTGGAGACACAGTGTTGGGGGCTCACCTGAGGTGGTCATTCCTTCCTCATGCAGCTTGTTCTCTTCCTCTGTGAGAACCATCTCTATTTCATGTGGGCTTACCTGTCAATCCCTGCTCTTTGAACTAGTGTGTGTACACGCTGCGATCTTTCTCCTCCAGTCACCCTCCATCACTGCACAACTGGCCCTACTTCCTCTGGGTCTCCCCACTTAGCATAAAGTCCCCTCGTGCCTTTTGCAATCGCAGTCCACACTGCAAACCACCTTTTAACCAACCAACACCCTACTAATGAGCATCTGGGTTGACTCCAATCCGCCCCAGGTACAATTAGCACTTAATTCCTGGAGTTTAAAAACTGGCACCACCACCACCTTTATTTGAGCTTGACTTTTCAACTGGAAAACAAGATTTAGCAAGACTAGGATTAAACAAAATTGTAATTTAAAAGATATTTTCACATCTGTTGAAAAAACTGAGTCAATTAAACAAATGTAAATAAACAAGAATTATGAAATTGTCACTACAGCAATCATTTCTACTTATGAAATTCATATTTTGAAAGGTAATAACAATTGGAGTATGTCTGCAAAAGACTGAGATCGTGAAGTTTCTACAAACTATCTTATATGAAACAGTTGAAGAATTCAATTAAATATTTATTGAACAAATGCAGAATGAATGAACTAAGGGGTACTTGCACCTGAAGATACAATACACAACTTCAACTATTCAGAGACCTGTCACACAAAGATGAAAGGCTTGTTCGCTGTTTCTTCAAAAGGAAGAACTTAAACTGAGAGATGAGCACGCACGCACGCCCGAGGGGCTGAAGGAGAGGGCTACAGTGCTGTGCCAGTGTGCACGCACCCCCACAACGCACTGCACCCCATTCTGCCCTCTTCTCAAAGACAACTGAGAACGTAACGCTTTTTGAGCTCTCTTGTGCCCCTTCTTTAGGGCCGGCCCGCAGCGCCAGCAATGGCTGCAAAGCACATTGGGCCTGCTCCCTCAAGAAGCACTTGCTTGTGGCTCGGCTGTTTGTGTACTCCACATGAAGGATTCTCTGGAGGTGGAAGGAAGGAGCACATGCTGTCCACTGGGGGGTGAATCTCAAGTCCTGGCAGCTCGGCCCAGGGCCAGGGCTCTGCCAACCCCAAGTGCACCCACCAGCAGCAGGCGGGGTGAAGATGGCCGGACGGCCTGTGCACGGGAGCAGGGGGCAGCTTTCATGAGTCACTCAGAAATGCACACTAACCGCGTAACCCTGCTGGGTGCCACCAAACCTATCTTGGTACGAGTGTGCCTGCTACAGCAACTACTCAGCATAATGCTCAAGGACAAAATCTATATAATATACTTTATATTATATACGCATCTTATCACATACTCAGAAAGGAATGCCGAGTGCACATTCCATCTGGTAGATTTGAAAATAAAAATTTACATTTCTGTGTTTGTCATTGTACAGGACTCCGAAGGTAGATCTTGAGCTCAGAAGAAGCAGTCAGTTTTCAAGGAAAGCCACATAATCAGTCAGCCTGGCTAACTGCTGTTCATTGGGGATGGGTGGAACAGGGGCAGGCTCTGTGTGTGAAGAGAAACACATGTCAAGTTAGAGAGGAGCATGGCCAAGCTTCCACCTGGCGACCCCCCCATCCTAGCTAGCCTTTGATTTAACAAGAAGCTGACTCTTACAGCTACCTGACTTGAGACAAAATCAGGCCAAGAAATCTACACTTCTATGAGCATATGGTTTTGCCAAACTGGACATTAACATGTCTTTTATCACCTCTGCTGGTCAGTGTTCTGTGCGAAGGTTCAAAATGCTTAAGGTGCAATCTCTTCTACAGGAGAGCACAGAGCTTGGAAAGGCCCCACCCGTGAGACAATTACTCTAGGGAGTGAATACAAAGTGCATCCATGTGCCTGCTACAACTCTAGGGGCAGAGGACATGGTTAATGAACACAAACAAACCTCAAGAATCCATCCTCAGGGAATTTGCATTCTAGCACTGAGTTGCCATAGTAATTGGGGGATGCCCTCTGTATCCACATCAGGGCCTGACACAAGCAAAGTTAGCAAAGTCTGTGGCTGGCAGAAGTGTGCCACTGTTCCAGGTCAAAGTTACGGGAGCCCAGGACTTCGCATTTATAGCCTATTATTCTTGTTGTTAGGACTTTTAACCTCTGTGTTTTAGAGCTTAAAAACATACAAACATTATATAAAAAAACAACAACAACAAAACGTTTTAAATGAACACAGAAAAATAGATACCTGATAAAGGAATAAACCTGTTAAAGGAAACATCCAGGGCACCTGCAACTAAACAAAGACAAGCGAGGTCACCGCAGTCTTCTTCTCCAGTCCCACTGCAGCACTGCTATCCAGCCACGGACTGGGCTCTCACCCTCCGACACTGGGGGACTGCCTTCCCCACGCCGTGGGCCCGACCCGCTCCCTTCCCCGCACAGGGGCCTGACGCGCTCAGTCTTCCTCACCTGCAATGGCTGGGGCTTGCTCTCACCCGGGTGAGAGGGCCAAGCAGACTAACACCTGATTTGACAATGGCATTTTAAACAACAGAGAACTTGGGTGGAGGCAGGAAAACGTATGCAAGTGGGCATAAAACCTGGCTCTGCAGGCCTGGCACAAACAATGGACAGGCTATAGACCCGAGGCCTCAAAAAGAGGCTAAAAGGAGCAGTCTATGTGCCTCTAGTACAAGAAAAAGGAGCTCTGAGTCTTTAACTTCTTTCTATAAAGTCAGTGATACTGAAGGATATGCACAATTAGAAACAGCTCCATAAATACCAAGACTGAGGTTAATATTTTAAAAAACCAACATATAATAGTCTTTTAAACAAGAATTACACACTTTTAAAGTTTAAACAGATTAATTTCTCATAGCACTAATGGCCCGGAATTGGAACTAAATGTATTAAAAAAAATTAAAGTACAACTAGGAAACCTTCAAGAGCCTTTCTGCTCTAACTGCCTAAGTCCCATGTCTACATTTAGCAGGTGAGTTAGTACCCCTGCACCAGTATGGAGCTCTTATTGTATGGCTCAAGGTCAGGGCGTGGCGTGAGTAGTTCTGAGCTCTGTGCTGTCAGGGCCTGGGGCTCCGCCTACCTGGCTTCCTGGGCAGCACCATTCTTGTGGTAGAGTCAGCTTGCCATCCTTGTTCCAATATTCCTAAAAGTATGTGTTTCACATATTAATGAAGAAACTGCAAAAGTTCTACAAGGTGTCTAGACTTCACTTGGTAGTAGACCTGACCAGCTTAATTCAATGCTCACGTATCTGCAAAGGTGTACTGCCAAGTCATGCAAACCTATCTTAAAAGATATTTCACTCTATCTGCTCTAATCATGAATCGACAGACTATAAAGTATTAGCCTAGTCAATATTACTATAAGCAAAGATGGGAAAATACGTGCGATACCTTTGTCATCATCCTCTCAGTAACCCAGTAAAGATGCTGGTGCTTAGGGTACCAACTCACGCCATCATCACAGCCATCATTTACCAAGTGTGGGAAAATGAGGTGCGGGCATTAGTGATTTCCCCAAGGCTAGCGTGCAGCTGTAAGGCAGATGGGGTGGGATGAGCACCCGTGCCCAGGCCACCTGCTAAGAGCCAGGAATGTGGGCTCTGCACTGCAGGACCTATGGGACAGTAAACTATACATCAGTCATGAGTACATTTCTGCCTGAGAACGAAACGGTGTGATTGAAGAGTTCTGGGACTGGGGGTAAAGGACATGCTTGGCACGTACAAAGGCCTGGGTTCAATTCCCAGCACTAAATAACACCCTCACAGTGCCTTGCTCACTCCGCCTAAGTCCAAACTGCACTAGGCCTGGCACTGAAGAGTAAGAAGTAGAACTTTATGTAGCTCCCATCCAGTTGTTAAATCCAACTGTCCACCGTATGCACACAGAGGATACAGCATTCGACTGGCAGGAGTACACAGCACTCTAGCAGCAGGAGTGGGTGCAGGTACAAGGGAATGGGGAAGAAATAGTAGGAAAGAAATGGGCTTGAGAGGGATGAGGGAAACTGCCTTTCAAAGTGGGGTGAATTAAGGATTTCTAAACAGAAGCCAAGAGAACAATGAAGACGCATCTTCTTAACCAATGCACAGGTGGGGCTCAGTGCCTGCTCTAGTCATGTGCTAGACTATAGGTGCTTCTTGTCCAAACCTTGCAGGAAGCGGTATGAGAAACATGTTTCACATCACCTTCCCAAGAAACAAATCTCCCCTCACCTGCACCAGGAAGGGACTGGACCGCAGTGTGTGCAGCTTCTTTGCCCCTTGTGAGTGACAAGCTGCCCATACCTTTCACAGCCTCCTCGACAGGAAGTCCAACAAAGGCAGCAAAGTCATCTGCAATGATGGAGGTATAGGCCTGCGAGACCAGGGCGAAGGCGCGTCTCCTTGTGGCTTCTGTGGTAGAGGTGGAGGGTTGGGAGAGGACAGAGCAGTATTTAAAACCACAGAGCTGCAGAACAAACTTGCTAAGTAGAGCATTCACTCATCCTTATGCCCATGCCTGCATCCAACCCCAGACGCTTCTCCCAACCCTAAACTCCACCCCGGAACGATTCTAAGGTAGGGGTGCCGGGCACCAGGCACAAAAATGCCTCCCTAGAAATGGCTCACGTCCACACTAAATTCAAGGCTGAGAGAGCTGAGACAGTTCCTTCCAGAGGAACCCAGCTAGCTCACCTTCTGCTCTACCACCCCCTTTTGGAACATGAGGGGTTCCTCTATAGGCTGCCAAAATGCTTAGGAAACATTCTGGATTTTACTCCCTCCTTAGTAGGTAAACGCACACATTTAAACTCCACAACATGTTGAAAGTCCCCTGAAATTTCCTGCAGACATGGTCAAAGTTCTCCTGCAGCTACTTCAGGAGCCCCTTGGCTCTCAGGCAAGTGTGAGACATTCTTGTTCTTGGGCTTTTTCCTCCCCCATGGCCTGAAACCCCTTCTCTGTCAGTGTCCCTCTGTCCATTTATAAACTTCCTGCAGTGTAAGTTTCTAACTTATCAAGCTTCCTTCACCGCCGATGGCACATAGCTCCATTCATACATTGCCATGACCTTCCTGGTCTATCTACGCAGATCCCTCTAAGTCTCCACCAAGCTGTGAGCTGAACGCATGCTGCTGGTGTGTGTGCATCGGGTACCACCCAGCCTCAGGCTGTGTTTTCTCCCAGTTGAACTCAGCCACACTCCTTCCTTTCCTGTGGAGCCACTCAAGCTCTCATTGAGCCATTACTTGCTCTTTCCCATGTCTTTCTACTCTGTTCCTTCCTTCTCTCTGCCAACCTCCAGACTTTTAAATGCAGACTTAGAAATGCAGAAAGTTCTTTAAGAAGGTGATCAATACATAGGGGAGGAAAATAAACAAGGCTGCAATGGCAAAGAACATTTGTCTAACAAAAATGTAAGTATAGCCAGGTGCCAGTGGCTCACACCTACAATCCTAGCTAATCAGGAGGCTGAGACCTGACAATCGTGTTCGAAGCCAGCCCGGCAGAAAAGTCTGTAAGACTCTTAGCTCAATAAACTACACAGAAAAAGCTGGAAGTGGCTCTGTTGCTCAAGTATAGAGCACTAGCCTTGAGCACAGAGAAGCTCAGGGACAGTACCTAGGCCCAGAATTTAAGCCCCAGGACCAATTTTAAAAAAAATATGGTAAGCTTACCATATTTTTAAAGTAACTCTTTAAATTATGCTGGTCAGATTTCAGGAATAGAGAAAAAGCAACGAACATGAGTGGAAGAGAAAACAGGGAGGAGGAGAAGCAGAAAGAGGCATAGCTGGAAAATGAAGAGTATAGAGGAGGTAGAAGTTGATCAACAAAGGAGCAAGGATGAAGGCTGGTGCTCCCAGAGCATGCTTACCATAGCCTGACGAACTCTAACGCCTGCGTTCTGACCCTCCACTCTGCAGCTTGTGCCTGAAAGGCCCTGTCTGAACTCATGGCAGAGGGTGTTCAACACACACTTAAGTGTCTGTCACCTACCAGGCGCTGCTCATCAGGGAGCAGTCAGTGCCCTGCTTCCCTAGCCCGCCTCCAGCCCTCCTAGCTGTGCTGGCAGTAGGCGAGGTGGGCCACCGGTGCCTTTGGCAGATGGGCTTCCATCAGGAGGTTAGAGGCCAGAGCAAGTCAGGAAATGTACTTTCTGCTCCGTCTTGCTCCAGCCAACCTGTATCCACGGGGATAGTCCCTTTTCCACAGCTGCAGAGACATTGGTCCCCCGGTACAGCCAGTCGTGAGTGCTTTACCAGTCTTGCAGGTTTTCTGGGAGGTAAGTCTGTTTGAGAGCCTCTCTTCAATCGTTCTACCTCATTTTTCTAGTAAAACTAATTCAGAACAGAATGGGAAGGCATTGCTGGGGGCAAGGGGGGAGGGGCACGCTGGAAACTTAGTGCTCAATGTAGTGACCATGAGAAAGTGGGATCTTAAGAAGGAGGGCCTAAGGGAAGGTGCTCAGCTCCTGGGGCACTGCGCCCAGAAGAGACCAACGCCACTCTTCCAGGTCCCCACTTAGTTTCAAGAACAAGTTTTTGGAAAAAGCAAGCCTGGCCCTGTCTGGCTTCTTGTCTAACCACGTGCTCTCTTCACCACTGTGATGCCATCCACCAACCACTAGGGGCACTCATGAGAGGTCAAAGAGATGGAGCTATCCCATCTCAGGCTCTCAGCCTCCAGAAACTGTGGGCCAAATAAACCTCTTTCATTTATAAAGCACTCACAGACCCTGGACCGACTAAGGTAATGGCTGTTCCTTCTTTTTATTTTTTGCTAGAACCAGGGTTTAAGCTCAGGACCCTGTGCTCTCGCTCAGCTCGCTTGTTAGGCTGGCACTCTACCTTTTCTCCCCACTCCTACCCCCTAGTTAATGGGGCTTAAACTCAGGATCTTGTGTTCATGCTTGGCTTTTTTGCTCAAACCTGGTGCTCTGCCACTTGAGCCAAAGCTCTCCTTCTGGCTTTCTACTAAAGAGTATTTTGGAGATAAGAGTCTCAGATTTTTCTGCCTAGATTGGCTGTGAGTTGCAATCCTCAGATCTCAGCTTCTTGAGTTGCTAGGATTATAGCAGCCACGAGCACCCAGATACACTGGACCTCTTGAGCCCTATTTTTTTCTGGTTATTCTGGAGACGAAAGCTCTCGGACCTTTCTGCCTGAGATGAACCTGAACTGTGATTCTCTGGATCTCAGCTTCTCAGCCACTGGTACTAAGCTTGACAGTGATTGTTCTGAACTAGAAAACAGGTTTATAATACACCAAAAAGCGAAAGACTAAACCCTGGAGTCATTCAACTCTGTCCTGAGACCACTCTTACCAGGCAGCATGCTACGGAGGAAAATACGGCAGCATTCATGAATCTGGGGACTTTCACAGGGTTTAGTCACACAGGGTTATTTTGCTCAGGCCAGTCTGAAATGAAATCTCGATCTCCTCTGTACCAGACAGATATCATGACAGAGACGAGCCACTATGCCCAGCTCTGACTGAAAACTCTGCCATAACTTGTTTCCTATAGCAAACCTTCTGGTTTCAGCCTCCCCAACAGCCAGGATTCCAGGCATGAGCTACCACACTTGGCCCGTTTATTTTTATTTTGCTAGTCCTTGGACTTGAACGCAGGGACTATACACTGTCCCTGAACTTTTTTTGCTCAAGATAGCACTCTACCATTTGAGCTATAGCGCTACTTCCAATTTATTGGAGATAAGAGTCATGGACTCTCCTGCCACAGCTGGCTTTGAATTGAGATCCCCAGATCTCAGTCTTCTGAATAGTTAGGAATTACAGGCATGAGCCACTGGTGGCCAGCTCCCAATGTAATTTTTTTTTTTTTGGGTCCGGTCATTTTTTTTTTTTTTGGATCCGGTCATGGGGCCTGAACTCTGGGCCTGCGAGCTGTCCCTCAGCTCTTCAGCTCAAGGCTAGCGCTCTACCACTTGAGCCACAGTGCCACTTCTGGCTTTTTTCTTTTTGCTTATGTGGTGCTGAGGAATCAAACCCAGGGCCTCATGCATGCAAGGCAAGCGCTCTACCACTGAGCCACCTTCCCAGCCCCCCCAATGTAATTTTTAACACAAAGAAATACTACCTCTAAGTGCTTCCATGATTGGCTGGACAGTCTCAGACCACTGGTGGGCGTTGATGGTCGTATAGATCCCAGGGAAATCTCTTTGCCAGATTCTCTGTCCTACTGACCAAATTCCCCCCAGTTCTGAATTTGCCTACAAGAAACAGTATTATATTTGAAAGCATTGCTAACTCGTGTAATTTATCAGTGACTACATCTTAAAACAAAATACCAGAAATAACATGAAACTTGTTAGTGGCATAATTAAAGAAATAAAACCAACATTTCTTTTAAGAGTTGCAATTGTTCTTCTATTAGCAAAAAGGTTTTCAGATACTTTGCACACTGGTAACAGAAAATACTTATAATCAGATACACATTTTTATTACAACAATAAATTAAAGCATGATATCTCAGAATTAAGCCTGGGGCTCATTATCTTAAGTATTATTGTTTCTAAAGATGTTAGCATTTATTTTTCATATATAGACAATTATCATATTGTATATACATCTATATGTGCATATATATATATATATATATATTTATACATACTTTGCCCAAAATACTCAATCAATTAATATCAGGCTGTCAATCTAGGAAGTCACACACTACTGCCTAGAATAGTTTCCACTTATACTGAAACTATGTATACATACAATAATTCTTTAGTTTACCAAGGAATCTGAGTTAACAACTCATTCTCACTCTTACTTAACAGGATGTCAGGGAAAGAAATTAACTTCATTCTATTTTGCAAGACACTTCTATTTTATCTACTCTTCCATCGAAAATCTAGTTAGCAAAACTAATCTTAATGTTACTTATAAAAAAACAAGTTGCAAAGTAAGCACCACTATCAAAAACTGCACGAGGCAGGTACAGTCACCAGCACCCACTGCCTCCACCCTCCCGCACTGTTTCCTTTTCCTGCTAATAATGGCAACAGCTTGTAAGAATCTGATCAATAAGTTGAATATATACTTCTATACCATTCCATAGAAATTTTAAACTTCTGATTGGTAAAACTGACATCTTAACGTTAATACAAGTTTAACAACAGTTTTTGTGACATAGGAAAGAAAGCAGGAATTTGTAAGAAGTTGCTGTTTACGTGAATGCTACTGCTGTATTGAAAAAAACAAGTTGCACTGAAAGAATACTTACAGATTTTATAGCAGGTGGAATCCTTTTCCAAAGGTACCTTGCATTATTCCTAATTTACATAAAGAAGAGCAATTTAAAATCTCAGTAAATAAACAGTTACTGGTTCCAATACAACATATAGATATGTATTTCAAAATACCAAAGTATTATTTTGTCATTTTTATTAGACTTTAAAATAAGACCCAGCTCTTAAATTATGGCCAAACTAAGTAACATACAGAATTGCAGATACAAAGATAAACAATGTTATACACTTAAAAGGCTCTGCCACATCCTGACAGTAAGTAGGGAACACAGTTTTTCTCCTTAGAATTCCTTCTCCTAGTGGGAGAAACGTCTTTCTCTGAAGCCTCAAGGAGGAGTTTTTAAAGGTACTGGAACAAACATAAGATAGCGGATTAAAAAAATAAAGATCCTGGATTAGTTTTTGAAACACTATCACAAAGGGTTTGCAGGAATTTAAGCCAAAATAGAACCAGAAACCATCAGTGTGTACTAGGACTAAAGAGATTCCTGTTCTTTAGGATAGATGCTTTCTAATTTTCCTTAAGGAAACAAATTTTGTTAAAAAAAGAAAAAAAAAAAGCTTTCAAGAAACCTCACAGACATCACAGACACTGGTAAGCAATTCTCCTTCAGCTTCCTCCGTTTTCCCTTTCAAGCTTCTTTTGGTCCTGTGTACTATATTTAAAATTAAGTAAACAGCGGGTGCTCGTGGCTCATGCCTGCAATCCTAGCTACTCAGGGAGCTGAGAACTGAGGATGAAAGTTCAAAGCCAGCCCAGGCATAAAAGTCCATGAGACTCATCTCTAGTTATCCCATAAAAAGCCTGGATGGAGATGTGACTCAAGTGATAGAACATTGGCCTTGAGTGAAAAAAATGAAGTGACAAAGAGAGGCCCTGAGTTCAAGCCCTGTACGAAACATAAACAAAGGTCATAACTTTTTAAAAGCAAAAACAAGGTCAATGATTACTGACATTGTGCCTTCTTGTTTAAAAAGAAAGAAAACAACCCATGAAGGTTTTAGAAAGTGTATGTAAAGTAAATGTATTTAAAAGAACCTCATTATAATTCACTATGATCCAACAGAAATCCTGGAGCATATTACAATAAAAGATATAGTTCATTGTGTCTGTTCTGTGGTCTATTTTGATGTAGAATTCAGCCCAACACAGGAAGCTGCTGCTCTTAGTTTAAGTAATAGGTACTTACATGTCATTATGGAGCAAATATAAAGCTAGAAGCTGACCATATACTGGGGGGGTAGCAATTCCTCCAGGGGCCTAGAAGGTCAAAAGTAAGAGAGGAAAAAAAAAACTCATTTAATCGTATACTTTCAATAAACAAAGAACATGACATTAATTCTTAATGAGAAAGCCCATCTTATACTACTACAGACTCAGAAGGAGCAGGAGAGAAATTGTAAGTACTAAACTCCTGAGCAGTGAGTTTGGCTATGTCATCAGCTGTGACATTATATCCCGTTGGGTCTCAATTTTATTTTCTATACAAAAACATTCAGATAAAATCCCTCCACCAATTCTCACATTTTGATTTAGGTCATCTTACTCTTGTAGGAAATAAAGACTGCACAGATTCCTAAGGCACGATCTTGCCCACTATATCAGACGTGCGGGTATCTGTGAGGAACAGTAAAGTCACCGCTGAGTTACAAAGTAATTTCTTGTCTCATTCATCAGATTTACTCATGTCCATTAGCCGGCGGCTGCTTCCACGGGTGTCCCCATTCGCTTTACATCATTATAAATGCTTAAGTACCTAAGAAAAACCTTAACAGTTGCACAACGCAACTTCCATTTGGCATAGAAAGAGAACAGCAGGCTCAGTTGAGTACAACTTCACAAGACTAACGAAGGCTCCTTCTGTTTTGTTTCTAGTCTGTGTGCTACCTGCACTATCAGTAATAATAACAGTAATAATAGGACCCAGGACCCCCACTCTCGCCCGACGACGTCCGGAGAAGCAGGTCGGTGAGTTAAAGCGAAGATGCGCAAGGACAAATGAAATGCTCGGGGCCGGCCAGGGGTCCGGGTGCTCGTCCCGGGTCTCCCGAATCGGTCGCGGGGAGGGGGTCCAGGCCTCCGGTCGCCCCCGCCCGACTCCGCGCGTCCCGCTCGGCGAGCGCCGGGCGCCGGCGAGCCCGGCCGCGTTTCCCTGGAAACCGGCGCCGCCCCGAGACCCGAGCGCCCCAAGGCGCCTTCCGGCAGCTACCTCGAGCTCCTGGTTCTCGCATTGATCCAGCAGCTTTTTGAAACTGAAGGCACTTTCCGCCATCACCGCCACTGGCATCTTCCCGGCCAGACTCGCCGCCGCGCTTCCCCGATGGCCGGACCCCCAGCTGCCCTTCGGGGCGTCGCGCTTGCGGTGACGTAGAAAGCCGCCGCCGCCGAGCGCCCGCGCGCAGGCGCGATGTCGTGTCCGTCGCGTCGTTAGGCAGCGTCGGGTTGGAAGAGGAGCCGGCGCTCTGGCCGGGCGTCTCAGTGCTCTGGAGGACCCGTCGGGCCGCGCCGGAAGCCGCTTCCGCTTCCGCCGCGCGTGGCAAAGGCGCGCGGGA